CAATCCGACGTCACACGCAACCATGCCTCCACCTCGCCGCTGTCCCTCCAAGGATGGGCGGAAACCAGGCGCCGAGAACAGCCGCGCCCGCGGCAACAACATCAGCCTACTGCCTGCCAACTTCCCGGTGCTGGGAGGAGGACCCGTGGCACGGGCCACCCTCACCGCGAGGGGCACCACACCGATTCCACCCTCTCCGGGCGTCAACCTCTGCAGCTGCAGCCGCCCACTGCGAGGCGCAGCCCTCCCACATCTCTACCAATTTTGCTCCAACGACGGCACGACCACTACCCAGCTAGCCTATACTGTTCTACAGCTCTCGCCACTACGCCACACCTCCACTACGTATTCACTGCCACCACGACAGCAGTAGCATCAACTACTCCACGACGAGGCACCAGCAGCCTCCCCACCTACGCGGCACACAGCAGCGCACTCTAACTCCAACACCACGCCTACCTCCACAACCGCAATCTCCTGTCTTGCGGGTACCTCCCGAACTTCCTGAACGCCAGCCCCAGCCTCACCCTCACCTAACTTTCGCCTTCCTCCTCCGCAGCCGCCGGCATGGACCCCAGGCAGGGACCCGGCCAGGGGGCCCAGACCGCCAGGACACGGGACGGGCAGGGAAGACCAGAGCCGTGCTCGCCACAGGCCTCCAGGGGAAGATCTTTGTTTTTTTTATAACCGTGGGCACGACCGCGGTGCCAAGGGCAGCACTGAGCTGCCGTGGACTGCCCAGGTGGTTCAGCTTCTAGGAGCTAAACAACCAGGAAGCATGCAAGAGCCAGGCCGAGATTGGCCACCACTCCTGTCCCTCGGGGGGCGGTGGCCCCGCTCTCGGGCCCTCCCCGCTTCTCGCCTGCCCCCTCGACTCCCACCTCTCATGCCTTCCCTTCGCCTCGCACACCGGCTCTCCCCGCGCCTTGAACCCAGCTCAGCGCCCGCGCCCCTTCCTTCCTCCCCCCCCCCGCCCACATTGCCCACTCCTGCTGCGTGCCGCAGCGTTGCACACACCCTCCCCCCGCACGCCTTGACCTCCCGACCTCGGAGATGACAGGCGGACGGGCCCCCCCCTCGAGGAGAGGTGAGCCGAGGCGGGCCGCTCCCTCGCCCCAGGGACGGTGGGGCCCACTCTCAGTCCATCTCTGCACCCGCACAGCGCCGGAGCTTACCTATCCCTTCTTCCTCCCTTCTCCATGGTCACCAGTCTCCGTCCTCGTTGCTCATCTCTCTTGCTGCCTCTTGGTTATTGTTCGCCCCACCCCACCCCGCAGGTCGAGGCGGGGGGGGGCTCGAGGGCTTCGGCGCATCGATGCGAACTCGTCCGCATCACCGAGTCACGAGCTCGAGAACGTGAGGAGGTCGAGGAGCAGGGAGGGGGCAACCATTTTGGCTTAAGACCATCTGGCCCCGGGCCCCCGCACTGGATCCCATGGGGGGGGACCGGCCCCAACGCGAGGCCGCTCGGCTGCGCGCGTACCACTTCTACAACAACTTCTGGGTGTACAAGTTCATTCGCCTGTGGGTGGTCAGCTGCACATCCCACCAATGGGACAGCACCCGCGAGAAGGACAACTGCCGCGACTACAACACATCAAACATCGATAACCCACGAGGCTACGAGACTGACCCACTTCTGTGGAGGCGTACCGGCAAGGATGCCGATACTACACACTCATAAAGGAACATGGGCGCGAACAGACGCGGCTCAAAAAGGAGCAGGTAACAACGTCATGCATAGGATGCAGCCTCGACCCGACGGCATGATTATCATTGCGACGACCGCCTTCGCGAGAGCGTCCGAGCACGAGCTGCGCAACAGGCAGCTCCAGTGCGAGGACGAGCTGTGTAACAGGCAGCCGACGGGCCCAAGTACGACAATGAGCTGCGTAGCAGGCAGACCGAAGACAAGTACCACCACCATGACGACACAAGTACGTCACCAAGACCAACACCAGGAACGACACGACCGAGCATCCCGAAATGGTGACCAAGTACGTCGTCCTGGATGTACTGGTGGACAACGGCCGCGCCGCCTACGGTGAGTAACGCTACGACAACGTTTCGATATCGACCTGTACTCGCACGACCCCCAGGACTACTCCAGCTTCAAAAATGTGGAACACCACTATGTGTCCCTCATTATCTTTGGGTACCCTGGCTACATGTACCCCACGGACTACAAGAACCCTCTCTCTGGGCTACAGGTACCCCTCTCCCGGACTACAGGTACCCCCCCGGACCAGACACCCTCCTCTGGACTACAGGTACCCGCCCCGGGACTACAGGTACCGCCCCCTTGACTACAGGTACCGCTCAGAAGCTACAGCTGCCCCCCGAGGCTACAGGAACCCCCGAGTTTGCTATCCCCTCCGATCCGAAGCTGTCCGCCTGGAAGGTCTCTGCCCTCTGCCAACTATGCATTATGCGCAGTTCGCTCGTGTTGGGTAAGCGCTCGAGGCGGAGCACTCGCGAGAGACGAATGGCGATGGAGAGAGGAGTAGAACGAGAAAAGTAAAGAGAAATAGACAGAAAAAGAGACAAGAGGTTGGGCGTTAAAGAGAGAGATAAAGAGAGTGAGAGTGAGAGTAAAAGAGACTGACTGACTGACGGGCTGACTGAACTACGGGTACCCCTCCCCTGGACTACGGGTACCCTCCCGGACTCCAGGTACCCCCGGAACTATTGAGGGACACAGAGTATGACTTGGCAGCCGACGACTCCGACTCTGTCCCCGTGGACTAAGAAGAGATCGTGCCCTCTGAGCTACTACACCCACCAGCCGGGCTACCAGGGCAACCAGACGACCTTCTGGGACCACAAATTGAACTTCGAGGACCACGCGCAAAACTACACGTGCCACCATAAGAACTTGAAGACCCACCTGCCGAGCTACGAGAGCCACCAAGAGAACCATCAACAGGGCCACGATAGCCACAAACTGCGCGATGAGGACCGCGAGCTGACCTACGTGAGCCACACACACAGAATTACGAGGCCCACCGGCGGAGCCACGAGAGCCACCCGCTCAAATACGAGGACCACCGGCAGAGCTGCGTGGACTGCCGGGTGAGCTACCGGAGCCACCTGGTCAGCTACGACAGCCACGAGCAGAGCGTCGAGAGCCTTCGGCACAGCCACGAGGTCAACCTGGGAAGATACGAAGGCCACGACCTGAGCTCCGTGAGCAACGATCAGAGCTGCTACAGCCGCCAGCAGAACTACCAGGGCCACCAGAGGCCCTTCGAGGACCACAGGCTGAGCTACGAGGAACACAGGCACAGCTGCGAGAGACACCAGAGGAGGTTCAGGACCCACCTGCCGAGCTGCGAGAGCCACCAGCAGAGCCACGAGAGCCACAAGCTGAGCCACGACGACCGCAAGCTGAGCTGCCAAAGCCACAAGCAGGGCTACGAGGACACCCATCTGAAGCACGAGGGCTACCAGCTGAGCTACGAGAACCACCAGCAGAGCTGCCAGAGGCACCAGCCAGGCTACGAAGACAACACACAGAGCTACCACGGCCGCCGGTCTCGAGCCACAGGAATTGGCCGAATCCTGTGGTTGCCCTGCCTTCTGCACGTCCTGCGCGTCGTGCGAAGGACCTTCTAGGCTAACAAGCTCAGTTCTGAGGATCACAGGCGCAGCTACTACAGCCACCAGAAGAGATACCAGCCCCCGCAGCAGACCTTCGAGGACCACAAGCTGCGCCACCAGCACAGCCACCAGGTCTGCGAGCTGAGCAACGAGGACCACAAGCACAGCTACGAGAGCTACGGGGGCCACCAGCTGACATACGAGGGCCACAACCAGAGCTACGCGGCCGACAGGAAAAACTACCAGTGCCTCCTGAAGAGCTACGGGGGCCACCAGCTGATCTAAGAGGGCCACAACCAGAGCTACGCGGCCGACAGGAAAAACTACCAGTGCCTCCCGAAAGAGCTACCAGGGCGACGATCTGAACTGCAAGGCCCAGAAGCAGAACTCGGAGAGTCACCGGCTCAGCTAGAAGGGGCCGCCTGCGGAGCCACGAGGGCCGCAACTGGTGCGACGCGGGCCACCAGCAGCACTCACGACAGCCCCCCCTCAGAGCTGCGAGCTGAACTGCAGGGGCCACCAGCAGGACTCGAACCATCAGCACAGCGAGGACTACCTCCTGAGCTACCTGGCCAACAAGCTGAGCAACGACCGCCGCGAGCAGACCCAACGGCGGAGCTACGAGGACCACCTTGCAAGCCACGAGGGCAACCACCTGAGCTGCGAAAACCACCAGCAGAACTGGCTGGACGGAGTAGCTGATCACGCGGGTCTACGACATGGGGTGCCAGCCCGAGTTGTGGGGCTTACAAACCAGAAGCGCCACAACGGCCTCGAGGGTACTCTGGGCGCATGGAGCGCTGGGCATTCAGAGTGGGAGCGATGGCTATCAGCGTTAAGAGTGCCAACGTCGATCCCATCGCCAAATACCCCCAGAAGCGGCCCGCCGTCATGTACCAAGACACGGCTCGAACCTACCAATATCACGATCCAATGAAACATGCTACGTGTTCGAGCTTTTATGCGATATCAGAAGGCCAGCCAGGGGTGGCAACATTCTTTCTCGACGTGCTCCACGACGAAAGCCTGTTCGACGAAATGTACGATCAGACAGCACATAAGATGGTACTCCATAATACGATCCTTCACAGCGCTACAGGCTACGTATACTTAGCGGCTTACACTTGCTCTGCAACGCGATGGACAAATCATTACGTGTACATGCCTCGCCTTCAACGCTACTGACAAGGTGCTCCGTGTGCATGGTTACAGCCCAGGTACTACGTCCAAAACAAATACACCTGCTACGGCTGAGTGGCCTCGCCGCTCTTCCTCCCCCCTCCTTTGGATGCCTCGTGCTGCGGGTAGAGGAAAGGCCCTCCCTCCTTCGAACCTCCGGAAGGGTTCGGTCCCGCATCGGCCCCGAGTTAGCGCGGCCGCGCGTCGGGCGCGTCGCGGCGACCTCTGGGGACGCCCGACGGCGCTACTGATGCTGCTGCTGCTGCGGGAGAGAGAGAGAGAGAGAGACATAAAAAACCAGAGCGAGAGGGAGGAGGGGAACATCAGGAAGAGGCAGTGGAGCCTGAGGCGGAGAACCAAGAGCAGAAGCAGCACGAGAGGCTTAGGAGGAAGAGGAGGAGGAGGAAGATCGACTACCGATCTCCTCCCCCCCTTTCAACTGTCGGCAGGCAAAGTGCCAGCGGCAGAGGACACAGAAGGCGTCGCAGAGGCCATGCACACTGCCCTGCTAGCGTTGACAATCCTCCAATAGACCACTACCGCCTTTCCCCGCCTCCAGTTGGGCTACAACCATTTTGGCGCGGCAGTGGGGGAGTTGACTTGACACTCCCACTGTGGGCTACCGATTAATAGCTCAACCATGTCCACCTGCAACGACCCTAGAATTGCTACGCTTATCTTGGCGTCACCATTATGAGCTGTTTGCTGCTAGCCGTGCTATTCATACGTACGCCACTCTTTTTTCTCGTGCTGCTCGCGTACTTGCAGGTACGAACATATGACGGAAGGGGGTACATGAGGCTGGGGGATGACGGGGATCGGGGAGGACCTTGCACCAGCCACAGCAATTTGGCGTCAAGACGCCACCTTCTTTGTGTTTACCTCACGCCGCGCAAGTGCCCAGTAGATCTGCTTAAGCACGTCACACTTTTTACTCTGCTGATCGCGTACTTTCAGGCTTGACTATATGACAGAAGATGGGGTCCCACGAAGGAGGGGGATCATCAAGTGTTGGGGTGCGGGGGGGGGCGTCCGCCAGCCGCAGCACATTGGCGTCGCATCGCCACGTTTTTACTTCACACCGCACACGTGCCCAGCAGACCTGCTGAAGTACTTGTACTCAACTCGTTTTTACGCTTGCTGCTCGCGTGCTTGCAGGTATGGCAATGTGACGGAGGAGAGGAGAAGGTGAGCGACACAATGTCACTTGCCCATGTGATGTCAGCTGAATTCAAGCAAGCATCCAAACCTCTTTTTAACAGGCCAGCCTACCTATGCCATCCTTCACCATGCCCAACTCTTACACTTCCTCTTCGATTTACCTTGCATGCTCACTCCGTGCCAATGCCCAGCAAACCTGCTTAAATACGTCACGCTTTTTACTCTTGGTGCTCGCGTACGCCGCGCCAATGCCCAGCAGACCTGCTTAAGTACGTCACACGTTTTACTCTTGCGAATCGCGTACTTGCAGGCGTGACTAGATGACGGAGGGGGATTCCTGTGAAGGGAGGGAGATACCTGAGGATCGGGGAAGACCTTACGTCAATCACAACGCTGTGGCGTCAAAGAGCCGTGTTTTAGCTACACACCGCGGCAGTGCCCTACAAACCTGCTGAAGTAAGTCATTATTGTTACCCTTGCTGCTTACGTACTTGCAAGTATGAGGTACAAGGGGAGGCGGTGGCTCAGGATCGGGGAGGACCTTGCGCCAGTCATAGCACTTTGGCGTCCCAACGCCACTTTGTCATCTCACACTGCGCCGGCGCCCAGCAGACCTGCCTAAGTACATCACAAAGTTTCCTCCTCTTGCAGGTCTTACTATATGACGGACGGGGGCTTCGTGAGATTCATGTCGGGTGGAGGAGATTTGACAGTTCAATCTCGCAGGCTAATCTGCACTACATTCCTTAAACAGGCCAGCCTACTCAGGCCATCCTCAACACGCTCAGCTTTCACCTCATGACACACCTCCGACGAAATCAGTACCTTTCGACTGGTGTTGTCTTGCACGCAACTAAGCAGCACGCGCCACATAATACTCAGTGTCTTGCTATTCTTCTACGGAAGTTTAACACAATAAAGCACGTGGTGTCGTACCTGGAGGCCACCTATTCTCGTTACTAGTATTGCCGCATTTGTTTCTTCCTACGTGTTCCGCGGCACCCGCCAGGTACCTTATGCGCCAAGTCGTGTTTACATCATTTCTTCATCCAAGAACGCCACACTCGTAGGATTCAGGCTTGGTCAACGTATAAAACAACGAAAGAGGAGGCACAAGGAGGAGGACACGAAGAGAAGAGAAGGATTGTACGTACTCAAAGAGAAAGAGACGAGGGCAAGCGGGCAAGACGCGAGACGAGGGAAAGTTATCCGCACGCGTCTGTCCACTGGAGCCCGCCTACTTCCAGAGCAATGCTTTGGCAGCGCTCAACCCTTCAGCTATCGTGGCTGGGGTCGGCGTGGCGTGCACGAGGAGAAGAGCAGGATGAGGAGGAGGACGACGACGACGGCGGCGGGCGCGCGAGGCGCAAGATGCCCCGTCCTCGAAGCGGGCCAGCTCGTCCGCGAGGGAGAAGAGCCCCTCGGAGAGCTGCCACTGGAAGAGTCGCGAGCTCGGCTCGGCGGGCTGCCCGCTGGCCGCGTCCTCTCTGCGGGCTGGTCGTCGTCGTCGTCGTCGGCGTCGGCATCGGCGTCGTCGTCGGCGTCGGCGTCGGTATCGGCATCATCGCCGTCTTTTGCGTGCTCTCGCGCATGTCTAGCCCGAGTCGGGCCTCCGGTGGCCGTCGTGGTGGTCGTCGTAGTGCGCTCGCCGCTCTCGGACACGGCTGGGCACTTTCGGCCTTCCTCGGCCCCTGGAGGCTGCTGGAGGCGGCCCCTGTCGTCGATAATGTGGTCGCTGCTTGTGTTGGTCATCCTCCTCCCTGACCGTTGTCCTCCCTCTCCTGGGGCGCGCCGTGGCAGGGAGCTCGGGGGCCCGGCCGCACCGAGGAGGCCTCCCCGCGAAAACGCCGACGTCTCCCTTCCTTGTCCTGCTCCTCCTCCTATTCCTCCTTCTCCCCCCGTTCCTTTTTAGGAAATGCTTGGCCCTTCGGTGCGCCGTTGAACACAAAAGGGGAGGGAAGCGAAGAAGGGGGAGGAACGAGGATGGAGTGGGACGGAGGAAAGAGCGGGAGGATGAACAATGGGGGAGAGGGGCAAAAGAACATACATGTGAGAAAAGGAGGAGAAGGAGGAGGAGGAGGAGGAGGAGGACGAGGAGGAGCATGAGGAGCATGACTCCATGACCCTATGATCTGACAGGTACCTGCTACATAGCAATGCACAAGAAACGAGCAGCACGCGCCTCCACTTGATGATCAGGGCGAGCGGCGAGTGGCCGCTCTATCGGGCGGGGGCCGCAGATCTGGCAGCCTCCTCACTCGCCTTGACTCTCGCGTGCAAGGCAGCCACTCGAGCTTCATAGCTCAAGACGGAATAAGGATTCGAACGAGCAGCGCTGGCCGAAATCGACGCAGGCTGGGCAACGTCGGGGACCAACCTCTGGACGGGAGCGACAACGTCGATACGCCTGGCCAAACGTTTGTGCGGCCCTATTCCCCTCCCGAGATTGCGAAGCACTTCCTGGCCCTTGGTCGTAGGTTTCACGCAAGGGGCCCTGAGATTCTCCTTCCGACGCTGCTGTGCCCAGCCTCCACAAAGAAAACTAGCGAATACTGGGACCGTGCAGGTTGGTCCCGCACAGCTCCAGGAAGATAAACTTCCCTGGGGAACAACAACCAACTGGTGGCCCATGGGACTGTGCCTGAAATCGCGCAAAAACGTGTGCAGCCCTTTACACCCCAATAGAGGTCTGTCTCTGCCAGGCTCAAGGACGCACAGACAATCCCTACGCCTGGTGCCGATGGAAGTCTTACACCAATCGCGCCCGCTTTCTCTCATCGTGTTTTTGGACCGAGCAAAAACGGGGAGCCTGGAAAACCTTTCTTCCTGCTCGAAACACGGGAGAACGAAAGCGCACAACTTCACAAAATTCAAAGCATTCGCGCTTGCCTCATCAACTCTCACCCAGAACTCAGGGGAGGCGGACGGACGCAGCAGCGTAGCCTTTTTTCGCAACGGCATCAGCGACAGCATTTGCATCGGTGCTGCGCTTCTCCTCGTCCGTGAGCGCATCGTACTTTTCGCCTGACCTTTGGGCTTTGACGTGCTGCGCGTGGTCTGTGTTATCGTAGCCGCGCATCAAACGGCCGAAGAAATGCGCGCGCGAGTACATTGACTTAGCCTGCACCTATGCTTGCTTGGACTTAAGAGGGGCTCGAACGACGGCCATGAAATCTGCGTATACCGACGAAGGTCTGTCTGCTACCTGCCCCACAAAGGCCATGCTCAAAAACTCTGCCATCGCTGACGACTGTGGCATGGCCTGAGGGACTGTTTTTTACATGACAGCTGCCGGTGTTCTGAACGACGGGGTCATCAGCGCCACTGCCCATCCAGCTCTCTGAAGAGCGAGGAGGGGCGGCCTCGTACAGGCCCCATCAACTGCGAATTATAACCTCTCGCCCTCTGCTCAGCTAGATCTTCAGGCTGAGCATCAATGTCGTCACCGCTGGGTGCAACAATCTGCGCATGCACACCTGGGTCCAGCGGTGGAATGTCGTTATCTTAGTCGACGAAGCAACCTTGTGTGTAGCATTTGTCACCAGGATTGTCAAAACCTGCTTGGGTGAACGGAGCTGGAACTTCCGACTCTGGTCTTGCTGTCGCAACGTCTTGCCTCATGCAGACGAACAGCCTGTGATAAACCGTGTCTGGAGCACGGAATTGACAAAGACCATTCGACTGATACCCACAAGGTCTAGCTCTCTCTCTCTCTCTCTTTCTCGTCCAGTGTACCTCGGCTGCTGACGTGCGAATCACGAACTGCTGATGCTTGTTGAGTCGGTGGTTCGTGGGGGCTACCTGCGCTGCGAATGACATCGCGAGAAGCTCTCGACTCGTGAGGCGCTTGCCACTTGGCCCCCATATTCATTTCCAGCCAACGCTGCATTGCCTTGCCCATGAGATCCTCCAGGAAGCCAGGCGACATCTGCCCTAGAGGTGCTTGAGCTCCGCGGTGATCTCTCCATGTCGCGCTGGATTCGGTAGCCCACCCAAGCCGATGCACGCGCAGGGCTGCTCGCGCAAGTGGGCCTCGACGATTGTTCCAGTTTCGTTGATCTGCAACAACCTCTTCCCCGGCTTTGCCCCACCAGGCCTGGGGCACTCGAAGGGGTGCCATCGCCGTTGCGGGCTGAGCTGCTGCCATCCTTGCCATTCGACCCCATTGCAGTGCTGGGGCTACCGCTTGGCGAAATGCAGGATCTCCGTCAAGGGCGAGCCTTGCTGTCAGCGACGCGCCTCCGTGAAGAGGTTTGACTTGCCGACAGCCGTCTCGCCGTAGTTGCAGCAGTTCATGATTGTTAAGACCAAGCATCTCAACTCCATAAGTAAGCGCTGGCCTGGCGCCAGTGGAATACCTTGCCGATCCTCCGCCCCTTGGCCTCAGGCATGGCTCGCTTGTACCGCTTGAGCTCTCGCAATATCAGATTGTGCTGCTTTGTGGCGCTTGAACATCTTGGCTCTCGCTTCTGGTGCACGCCATCTTCGACCTGCTGCTTGATCGGTGCCGAGGTAGGTCGCCGTCGATGCTGTTTTGTCCTTCGAGAACCCGGGGTCCGTAGCTACAGCTTCGGCAAGTGCGCGAGTGCTCTGGCCAAGCCTGCGCGCGCATCGTTGATCGTGGCACCGGGCGCCTTCAACTGCCAAGGCGATGAGTGACTGCTCGCTTGCAATCTCAACTCCCACACATAATGCGTCGATGTAGCTAGCAAAGTCAACCAGGGGGCGAAGTGCAACATAATAATCAGGCGCAGCTGCTTCAACAAGATGTCCTCGTAGTACTTGGAGTAGTCTGCTATGAGCGTTACCGAGCACCGATCTGCTGCGATGCTGGCCCCAGTTCTTGCTGCTAGCTTCCATGCTCTGTCAATTAGGCTTTTACCTTTTTCCAGCGCACCAGCATCTCCAGTCAAGACTCTAGAGCAACTTGTCGTACTCGCACCTCCTGAAGCGTTGCCATTCTCAGTGCGCCGACGCGTGCAAAATGATAAGTCGATGTCCTCCTTGCGGTTTTGGTAGCATTGGCATGATAATACATGCCCGTTGCTTGGGTAGCATGCCCAGTAATTCCATCGCTTCGAGTAGAATCGCAAGTGTTCCCAGCGCATCGTCGCCGACATGGGTGAGATGCCGAGCATGAAGCCCACCAAGTCCAGCAGATGTAGTGCATGGGAAGGCGCGCGCAACTCTTCTGATAGCTTCAGGCCCAGCACGTTGGAAATAACATATGTCTGGTATCCAGGCTCTCGGCGCTGCTGCAGTGCTCTTGGACATCTGCATGTACTCTTCTTCCATCGCATGAACAATAGCATGAGGATGTCACGAAAACTTCCCAGGTGCTGGTTCGGACCGTTGTTGGAGACTGAACTTGTCGAACTTGAGTGATCCGATGCAGTCCTCTAGCTCCCCTGGCACGTGCTTGTCGACACCAGTCTTTCCATCTTGTCTCCAATCTCTGTCAGCGTCTTGAAATGCCGGATCTATGTCCTCTTGCCATTCATCTTGCAATTCCCGAATTGCATCTGGATGAAAGTGATTGGCTGCAACTCTCCTGGCTTGATCAACGCTGCCATCGAGTCTTCGGTTCACCCCTTGCCTTGGATAGGCTGAGGTCTGCAGTAGAAAGATTTCATCTAGCAGCGTTGCCTTCTCCTCCTGCTGCTGGCTTTCCCGAAGCTGAGCTATGGTAGCCATCATATCGCTGAGCCACTTCCATCCATCGGCTCGAGCAAGCATTCCAGGCACGTCCTTCAGCTCGTAGTGGATGTCTACCCTTCTTGGCTGCCAGAATCTCCTGAAGCTCCATAATCTTTAACTTCAGAAGCAGCGGCAGTGAGATGAGCAAGCCCCCCCGCAGCATGTTCAGCGAATTGGCCCCAAGCCAGCGTTCAGAAACCCCGCGCTGCATCCGGCCTAGCATGTTTGGCCATATCCAGTGCCTGACCTGCGTACCTAGCTAGTAACCTCCAAGACTCTTCAGGGAGATGTGGACCTGAGGGCACCACCGGTGTGACCTTGGGGGCCGAGCCGTAAGTCAGGACCTGGAGCGACTTACCAACTGCCACCCTATGAAGCTGAACTGGGCGGTGTGGCCTGGTGTGCCACGACGAATCTACCTTGACAGCACGGAACAAAAGCATGGCCGCCTCGCTAAGCGCGAAGTAGTCGATCGTATTGCTCGCTGTCGGAGTTCGGCACGTAACTGCACTAGGACTGATCATCTCAACGTGCGCGCGTAGCAAGAAAGTCGAGTCTTCCACTATGTCAGCATTCATGTTCCAGTCACCGCCGATAGTTGCTGGATGAGTGAGTCCAGCAAGCTCCTCTCCAACCATAGCCAAGATCATCAAATTTCGCACTGTCATTCATTCGCGCGTGTGGAGGTAAATGTTAAAAAAGCTGATCGTTGGCCATCCTGGTACGTCAACTTGAACGTGCTGCGCTCAGTGCTCAGCGACCAACGGTGTCGAGCACGTGGGTGGCCATCTTAAGCCGAGGCCATGTCGAGCGAAGGCGGCTACGCCGGCTGACGGAAGATAACCTGCTGTGGGAGCACCTGG